CATCCATTCATCCATCATCTATACACTGCATGGGGGGGGCTTGAGCTTTTCCCAGCCAACTCAGGGTGAAGGCAGGGGACACCCTGGACAGGTCACCAGTCTATCACAGGGCTACACTTAGACACAGACAACCAAGCACACTCACATTCCCTCCTACGGACAATTTAGAATCACCAATTAACCTCAACATGTTTTTGGACTGTGAGAGGAAGCCAGAGAACCCGGAGAGAACCTACGCTGCACGGGGAGAACATGCAAACTCCACGCAGAAAGATCCCAGGTGTCCTCACCAGGACTCGAACTGGCGACCGTCTTGCTGCGAGGCAACAATGCTAACTACCGACCCACCTTGCAGCCCCCAGGAAGAATCGAGTTCTCAAAAATTTCCAGCAAACCAGAACCAAAACCTCTGACATATGAAGCTTAATTTTGCAACTCATAATGCAGAAGAAAAATGTTCTCTTCTTGAAACATGCATGACTCTAAACTCGTTATGCCTCTGACAGCCTTGTTGCCGTTGCAGAAAATTGCATTTCACATATTTCACAAGCTTTGTTCCATTGCATTATTCAGATTCCACTTAATGCTCATCATGGCATGTTTTGCGGGCTGACATTGCGACAAGATTTTCATTTCATGCATATCGCGGTGATTAAAATGTCCTTTCGGCAGCCGCACTCTGTGGGCACTGACGGAAGGCCGTCTTTTTAGGCTTCACGAGGGATGATATCGGCTTCAGGATCTCTGCAGCGGCGCTGATATAAATCTAAAGAAGTGGGAGAGCAGAGATCATGTGGGCATGAAGATGACACATCAGCGGGAAAAGCTCTTATGCAAATGTTCACCTTTCTCTTCCGTGCGTTAATGAGCTGTCAGCTGAAGAGAAATCTCAAATCTAAAGGAGAAAATAGAGGTTGTATAAATCACTGAATATCCGATGGCTGTCGTGGAAACAAGACATCATGGTTTACGTGCTGGCATCTGTATTTTGCCTGTCTCAATTTATCGCACAAATTATTTTTCTCCTCATCGCACCACCTTTCTTATCACAGTCTCTGAGACACCTGCTTAGATTTCATGTGGTAGAGTGGAGATGGGGAAACTGGGAACGAGAGAGGCTCACAAATAGCTAAGGTTACAAGCCAGATTACATTCTATCCTGCTGAGGAGGACAGTGTGCAGGAATTCCACTTTAAGGCTGAAAAAGGTTTGACAGGTATTGGGGGATATGCATGGGTGTTATTTGCACAGGTAGCATCTGGAACATGGTCTTGTTTTAAACTATATCTTCCAGCAGGATGTTATATCAGAAATCCGTTTATTTGCTGCACAGTGTGAGATAAGAGTTGGGACTTGTGTGCAGTTATAGTTATCTGCCTTCTCAGTGCACATCTGCAGAAGTATAATTCTGATACCTTAACCTGCCTTAACACCTTTTTAAAAAAAACAACAACAACAACAACTCAGGAACAAGACAGGTATTGATCAGATGTTGTTTATCTTGTTGATACAACTGCAATAGCTGCTGTGATATCTGTTTACAAAAACAAACAAACAAAAAAAACATCCGTTTGCAAAGTCTTCCCTTCAGTTTTTGCTTTCAGCTTCACTTCTTGTGCTCAAAACTTGAATTGATACTGGTTCATTCAGGTTATGGACAACTTAAAGAACACACTGTTGCCTGTAGGAGAAAAGCAAGCAAAGAAATATGATTACAATCGGTGTTTGGTTGATTTTTTAAAATAAACTTAATGTCTGCAATCATACAAACTCTAACAATAACCTGACTGCAGGACACCTGACTCAGTCGAGCTGTGAGGGTCCATCAGCCAGAAAATGTTTGGAACTACTGTTTTAGAGGATAATTGCATCTTTATGACTTCCTCAAATCCGGGGCGCTGAAATCAAATTAAAAGACTTTACAACACTGCAGTGAGTGTGTTCTTGTTTTCAAGTGTATTTCTATTTCTGGCTTTCATTGTTAGTACTCTGCCGCCTTAAGCCCACTGAGGCACCAGAACGCCCACGCTGCCTCATTGTTTTTTTTACTAAATCTGTCTGAGAAATTGTCTTGCTCTCTCTCTCTCTCTCTCTCTGTTATTCTTTTCCTTTCTGCTCTTCTTCTCATCCTCTTGTTCTTCCCCCTTTAAGCCTCCTCTGGCCCTCCTCTACGCTCATGTGTTACCTTAAGCTGAGCCGAGCCGATCTGAATCAGGTAGGGGGGCGGCGCTGGGAGCTTCCCTGTCTCACCAGAGATTCCCCATGCTTTGCTAATGGCACATCAGCAGCTGTCAGTGGGCCCTGCACTGCGTCAGCCGCTTTAATTGGCCTGCGTGGCTGTGGTCTGCAAAGCGCTCAGCAGAATTGACACACACACAC